CCATAAAGAAGAACTAAAATCATGAACTTCACAGCAACCTCGATGGACTTAGAGTCTATAATACTGAGTGATCTTTCACAGAAACAAAGAACTGAGTATCACATGTTCTCACTCATAAGTGGACCTTGAACAACTACAGTAATAATATAAGATAAGGATTGAGCCGGGCTTGGTGGATCAGCCTGTAATCCCACGCCTTTGGGAGGCTGAGGTGAGTGGATTGCCTGAGCCCACAGGTTTGAGACCCACCTGGGCAGCGAGACCTCATCTCTACAATAAATCAAAAAAAAAATTAGCCGGGTGTGGTAGCGCGCGCCTGTAGTTCCAGCTACTTGGAAGGCTGAGACAGAAGGATCGCCGGAGCCCAGCAGGCGAGGCTGCGGTGGCCGGGAGCGGCCACTGCACTCCAGTCTGGGCGACCGAGTGAGACTCCACTCAAAAAAAAGAAAAAAGAAAAAAGAGAAGGATTGACAGTAGTGAGAAACTGTGGGGGGGTGGGATGGGCGGGGAGGTGGGATTGACAGTAGTGGAAATCTGCCTGGGGAAGGGGGAGCACACCTCATCAACAAGAATACGTGCACAATGAATATTTGTATACCTAACCCTGAATTGTATCCCATAATTTTAAAATAAAAAAATTTAAAAGTTAAAAAAAAAAAGTTATTAGCTGCACCCTCCCTCAATGCTGGATACCTCGCAAGACTTCGCAGAGGCTTTCCTCTTTTGTCTTGGCCACCTCCATGCTGTCCAGACTGAGGAAGACCTGGAAACTTCAGGGCCACGTGAGCCATGGCCACAGCCTCATTGGCAAAAACCGAAAGCACCCAGCAGGCCATGGTAACGCTGGTGGCTTGCATCGCCACAGGATCAATTTTGACAAATATCATCCATGATACTTCGGGAAAGTTTGTATGAGGCATTACCATTTAAAGAGGAACCAGAGCTTCTGCCCAACTGTCAACCTTGATAAACTGTGGACTTTGGTCACTGAGCAGACAAGGGTGAATGCTGCTGAAAACAAGACTGGAGGTGCTCCCATCATTGATGCTGTGCGATCGCGCTACTACAAAGTTCTGGGAAAGGGAAAGCTCCCAAAGCAGCCTGTCATTGTGAAGGCCAGATTCTTCAGCAGAAGGGCTGAGGAGAAAATTAAGGGTGGAGGGAGCCAGTGTCCTGGTGGCTTGAAGCCACAAGGAGGGAGGTTCATTAAATGCTAACATGCTTTAAAAAAAAAAGTTATTAGGTAACTAACTCCCTTTAGCAAGGTCATGTATGAAGACTGGAGCCTCTGGAACAACGTATCTCACAGAAAGCACCAGGTATTTTTCCTTTTTTAACTTTATCTATTGCTATTTAAATGCTACTTTAAAAGTTTATTTTATACATACCACATCAAGTGTCGTCACCCACTGAGCCCTTTACCCTCTAAGATATATTTCCTTAGCATTAGTTCACACTGTGGGATATAAAAAAGGCTTTCCAGCTGGGCTCGGTGGCTCAGCCTGTAATCCCAGTGCTTTGGGAGGCTGAGGTGAGTGGATTGCCTGAGCCCGTGGGTTGGAGACCCGCCTGGGCAACTTGACAAGACCTCATCTCTACAATAAATCAAAAAATTAGCTGGGCGTAGTAGTGCGCGCCTGTAGTTCCAGCTACTTGGAAGGTTGAGGCAGAAGGATCGCCGGAGCCCAGCAGGTCAAGGCTGTGATGGCTGGGAACATGCCACTGTACTCCAGTCTGGGCGATGAAGTGAGACTCCAACTCAAAAAAAAAAAAGGCTTTCCTCATGACCAGAGATATGCTTTGCTGGCATTTAACCTTGCTTTACACATTTCTAGAAAATTCTATCTGCTCTGTTAATCTTCGATGCATTTCTGTTCAAGAAAGACAATAAAAGTGAATGTTCTTGTCATTCCCAATGATTATGTATTCCATACAAAACTGATAAGAACTCTCACTTGAATGGTGTAACCTTCACTAATGTCCTAGAGGACCCTGGCTTGAGAGACTGCCTATCAGGGAGACCCTTTCACATACAGTTTACTGGATAGATCCTTTTTTTTTTTTTTTTTTTTTGAGTCAGAGTCTCTCTCTGTCATCCGGCTGAAGTACAGTGGCACACTCACGGCCACCCCAGCATCAACCTGCTGGGCTCAGGCGATCCTTCCACCTCAGCCTTCCAAGTAGCTGGAACTCCAGGCATGCACTACCAGGCCCGGCTAATTTCTTATTTATTGTAGAGACAAGGTCTCGCCAAGTTGCCCAGGCTGGTCTTGAACCCACAGGCTCAGGCAATCCACTCGCCTTGGCCTCCCAAAGTGCTGAGATTACAGGCTGAGCCACCAAGCCCAGCCAGATAGATCTTTTTTTCCTTTGGCTTTTCCATTTTCATCTATAACCTATAAGAAAGCACTTTGTTTAAAAAGTCATAGGAAAATGTACCCATATGGTTGTTTGCAATGAAAACAAGAAAACGTTCTCCTTTCTTCTCCCCAGGAAAGATGAGGAGCCTGAATGTTGATATTCTCACATTAAATGATCTGCCAACACTTAAAAGTATATTTGCAGTATAGGGTTAACAAAAGAAAAAGAAAAAAAACTATCCTTTCAAAGAGTCTCTGATTTCCTTACAAAATAAACCCAAAAAAGATTGGGCTCTTGGATTTTTTTCCTGAGAAAATGGGCAAAGCCATTTTCTTTTCTTTTGCTTTTTCTAATTTGCCTTGGTGCTCTTGACCCGAGAAACTGTATCTGATTATCTGTCAGAGAGAATAATAAACCTGAATTGATAACTGACATCTTAACAGACTGAACAGTAATATTTCACCACTGAAATCCTGAACAGTTCTCTAAGGGCTCTTTTTACAAGTAGGCTTCATAAATAGCCAGTACATTGAGGATTTAATTATGAAATCGGAACGCTTGATTCACGAGTCTCTTTTCAGAGCCGATTTCCTCTTCATTCTCAGACTCGAAGACTTAGAGAGTCAATCACAAGCACTTACCTTATTTACTTTCCAGTCCTCCTCTAACTTTTCTGTGGCCGCTGGTTCCTGAGAAGACTCCTGCACCTCAGAAGTGGCCAGCGCCTCTCTGCCTAGCAAAGCAGACTTTCCTTTCTCTTCTGTTGAAAATTTTGATTTGAGAATGCTGTTGAGACAATTTTCCATCTCCTGCTTAGCACATTCAAGTTTGTTTTCCAAATCTTTTTGTTTACACTTAAGTGATTTGATATCATCCTTAATAATCTTCTGTCCCACTGAAGATGTATTTTGCTTGATGGACTTTGCTAAAACTAAAATCTTCTTTAACATGCCATCTTGTAAACTGAGTCTGTTCTCTAGTTCCTGTAAGTGGAGAAAAGATTGTTACCAAAAGGACCTCCTTTCAATTGCGGTGAGAGTTAATTGACTTTTGTAAATCACAGAGTACTTTGCTTCACTAGTAAAAAATACCCAACACTTATCAACTCATATCACACAGAAAAAACTTTGGGCAAACTTTAAACCAATGTAGCATCCCAAACTAAATTCTCAAACAGATTTTATAAGAGACTAGAAAAGTTTGCAACAAGTAATGCAGAAATTTTTCACAGCACATTTGTACAACCTAGGCAGCAGTCAATGGATATTTGCTGAATATATATTTTGCTCAAGCTACAGCCTTTTCACACAATCAAAACATGAAATAATAAGTGCCTACTATATGCAGAGTATTCAAAAGAACAAAAGAATCATTTAGAATGTACCCACATGACTTTATTGCTAATTTTTAAAATTCCCACATTCCTGGAAACCCCCAAAGTGCTGGAATTGCAAGTATGAACAACCATACCTGGCCTACATTAAACACTTTACAGTTAAACAGGCCTATTTTAACCCTTGCCCAACTCCGATTATCTGTATAAGCAGGATTTTTTTTTTTAACCCAGGTAATTCTTAAATAAAATCTGGCTTTCAGAGTGCAAAGAATTTATAAACAGTGCTATTAAGAGAATATATTCCTTCATGACAAGCTGACATTTTACCTCTTAACTCTTACTGCAGAGCTTTGCGGGTGATAAGAAATCAATCTATCTAGTGTATGATCTCCAATATAGCAGGAACTCAATCAATATTTACTAAATGCATAAGCAGATGAGGTTAATTTTAAAACTCTAGATTCAAAAGGAATTTGCTGCATGACAGCAGCTGCTGCTGTTACTCTGAAATAGAATAAGCCTTATCATTACTAGGTGAATTATGTAGGATTCATTTAGTCACTATCCTAATGGGCTACATAGTAAGTATCCATTCAGTCACTCATTCATTCATTCAACTGACAATCAAGCACTAGGACAGGTTTTGAAATGATATAAATGAGTAAAATCTAGTCCCTTCGACTTCTTACAGACTAGCAGGACAGATACAGAAGGAAACAATTGTAATGGAATACAGGAAGATCTATAACAAATAATCACCGGTCACTGAAACATTTTCAATGGAAAGAAAGGAGTTCCATTTTAGCCAAGTCTGGGACAGTCATGGCAAACATGCTTTAAAGGGCCCACTCTGAAGTCTAAAGCAGGGAACTATACAATGAGGACCTGTTTTTATTTTTAAATTTTATTTATTTTGAGTCAGTGTTTCACTCTGTTGCCCAGGCTAGAGTGCAGTAGCATGATCACGGCTCACCATAGCCTCAACCTCCTGAGCTCAGGTAAGTCTTCCTCCTCAGCCTCCCAAGTAGCTGGGATTCCAGGCATTGCACCACCATGTCTGGCTAACTTTTTTTTTTTTTTTTGAGTTGGAGTCTCATTCGGTCGCCCAGACTGGAATG